AAAGAAAGAAAGAAAGAAAGAAAGAAAGAAAGACCAGCATGCAGCACTGTGGTAGAGCACTTGCCTAGTCCTGGATTCAGTCCTACATGGAATTATATTTACAACAAGGAAAAAGAAATGTGCTGATTAAACAAAATATAATCCTTACTTTTCCTAAGAGCATACATGAAACTTTGACAAAATCTTTGAAAGACCCAAACATGGAGATTCATCTCTTTCATTAATACCCCAGATGTCACCATTAGTAATAAAAATGAGACAAAACTTTCAATTTTATTACTGTTTTTAAATTCTCTGTATGTGATGTAACCATTAGTGCCTTACTTAAGTGGGCTTCTCCTACCCCTCCTCCCCTTAGTACACAACTGTGTTAAAGAGGCATAAGTTTGAAAAGTGGAATGATTTAAACATGGTCAGCCCTCTGTATTTACATATTTAGCATGGGTGGATTTAACTGGCTACCAAGGGAAAATATTTTTAAAAAGTCACATCTATACTGAACATATGCAATTTTTTCTTGTCATTTTCCCGTAAACAATATAGTTGAACAACTATTTACATGGTACTTAATTGTACTAGAGAGTATAAGTAATCTAGAGATGATTTAAACTATATAAGGGATATGCACAGCTTAGGGGCAAATACTATACCATTTATAGAAGGATCTTGAATATCTGTAAATTTGGTGTAAACTGGGGATCCTAGAATCAATCTCTCCAGGATATGGATGGATGACTGTGTACCTTTCATCTATATGTATAGATTGTCCCTAATTGTTGTTTATTGAAACTGAATTCCTTCAAAATAGTTGGATGTCTCTCTCATTTTGGAGGCCATTCTAGAGAAACGTGTGCAGTGATGAAGCAGATTTAGCTTGTCGCCTCTGAGCAGTTTCCATGCTGTCCCTAGTAGGATCTTGCTTCTCCATTATTTTACTGTCATCTGTTGTCATCATTTTCTCTAAGCTTCATCATTTCTTTCTTTTCATACTCTACTATTTCCCTTCTTTTGCTGT